AGGCATAAGCCTCAAGGGAATTGAACCGCACGATAAGGAAACAAAGAAGGGAAGTACTCCTAACAGCCCTGTAGCCTCCCAGGATAAGTACAGACGTCTCCGTACCGATTCGCGAGACTCTACTAGACTTGCTCATGACTCGTGAGAGTGACGGGAACCTAGTGCTCTGATACCATGTTGTTACGACCCAAAATCCACTAAGGGTCGTGGTGGCGCCGGACACCTCTGTCAGGCCAGCCTAACTAAATTATCAATTAAACCCTCTTTTAATACTTTTGAAAATCTCAGGGTTTTTTTTCCTCCCATTTTTCATAAATAAAAGATAGTACTTGAATTCAAATTTAAACAATAACAATTAGTACACATCTTTCGAAAACCATCCCCAGAACCCGGTGTCACAAGTGCATGAGCATCTACTAATAAGAATATAAAATACAATACAACATCCGTCCGGAATACAATGGACAGAAAGGAAATACAATTTACTAGAAAGGGACTTTAAAAGCTGCGGGCCGCCCTGCATACTGCAACTCACCTAGTCCCCAAATCGTCCGTGCTGCTATGTCCAGTAGGCCGCTAAAGTAACATATACCTGTGCAACAAAAATGCACAGAAGTGTAGTATGAGTACGTAATCAACGTGTACTCAGTGAGTATCCCGCCTAATCCCGAAGGCGTAGAGACGAGATGGCCAACTTCGACACTCACTAGAGGTCAATTAACAATATTCTATAAGTGCGAGGATAATCATGGATTTATATATAGAAGTTTCTAATTGTGAGGCCGGGAAACAGGTAAACACCTTCAATAATAAATCAATGGCTTCCAAGGTTTATTCTTTATTATCTTATCAGTTTATATCAAGCCACGAAGTGCCAATCCCACATTTAAAATTCTTAAGCAACAGATAAACATGCGCAAATCACACCGAGGCGACGGCCCGCTCCAACAGGAATGTAAACTGTGCACTGCCGAGGGTCGAGCGGCCCGAACCAATAGAAGCATCTACTTAATCTGCCGAGGCGTTCGGCCCGTTCCATAAATAAACATATACCCTGCTCGCGAATCATGCATGCGACGCAGATGCACATAAAATACATGCTCAAGTAGTCAAATAAGAATTTATCGGAGCTATTTTATCAAATAAAAACCAAATCCACTTTTAACAATTCAAGAAAATGAAGTTTAATCCTTTTGAAGTTCATTTACTATTTCAACTTGATTTTAACAATTCAAATGTCAATAAGATTTCAAATATCCCAAGTATAGCATGCATTTGGGTCCCAGACTACCCGGACAATAGCATAATAGTAGCTACGCACGGACTCTCGTCACCTCGTGCGTACGTAGCCCCCACAAATAGGAGCACATAACCAATTAACTCACCTATGGGGTAAATTCCCCCTCACAAGATTAGAAAGGAGACTCACCTCGCTCCGAAGACTCATAACCGGTATTCTACATTCTTCCGAAGGCTTGAACCGATGCACAATGCACCAAAACTAGCCAATTAACAACAAACTAATGAGAACATGCTCAAATACTTGTTAAAAATTCAGATTATACAAATTCCCAACTCCTCTTAGTGAAATAACCAAAATGCCCTCGGGCCCACATGCCCGGAATCCAAAATTTCTCGAAGATAAAGGTTACCCATGACCTTAGGAACTCAAATATATAATTTTCTCTAAATTCCATACCCAAAATCATGGCTAAATTCCAAGAATATGATTTTCTAGGTTTTTTCACCAAAACCCCAATTTTTATACTAATTTTCATGTCTAATTCCATGGTATAGTCTTGTATTTAACTTGGAAATAAGTAGGAGTAGCTTACCCTAACATTGATGATGAAATCTCTCCTTGAAGCTCTCCAAGAATCGCCCAATGAAGTGAAGAAAATGAGAGAAATGGCCAAACATCCGATTTAAAAACAATGCTTCTGCCCCCAGCTATTTTCGCTTCTGCGGAACTATTACCGCTTCCGCGGTCACGCTTTTGCGGACAAAACTCCGCTTTTGCGGACAAGGGGGCTCCAGCCATTTTCGCTTTTGCGTCAGCCTACCGCTTCTGCGGTTCCGCATCAGCGGATCAAGGGCCGCTTCTGCGGTCCCGGCTGCCCTCACGCTCGACCGCTTCTGCGACTTCTTTCCCGCTTCTGCGGGGCCGCTTCTGCGGTCCCATCTCCGCAGAAGCGGAAACACCAGCAACCAGCAACTCAGCTATTTCCATCCATTTTCGATCCGTTAACCACCCGGAATCCACCGAGGCCCCCGGGACCCCAACTAATCACACTAACCAGTCCCAAAACACATTACGGACTTGCTCGAGGCTTCAAATCATATCAAACAACGCTAAAATCATGAATTACACCCCAATTCAAGCTTTACGGACTTTAGAATTTCAAACTTCTATTTTCGATGTTTAAACCTATCAAATCACGTCCGATTGACCTCAAATTTTGCACACTAATCATATTTGACATTACGGACCTACTCCAACTTTCGGAATTGGATTCCGACCCCGATATCAAAAAGTCAACCTCCGGTCAAACTTCCCAAAAACCTTCAAATTTCTATCTTTAGCCAAATGGATTCAAAATGACCTACGGACCTCCGAATTCACTTCCGATCGCGCTCCCAACTCCAGAATCACCATACGGAGCTATTCCTAGACTCGGAATCCCAAACGGAGATCGATAACACTGAAATGAATTTCAAGCCAAACTTAAGAAATTCCTTCTAAAATGCTAACTTCCACATTAGGCGCTAAAACGCTCCCGGGTTATCCAAAACCCGATCCGGGCATACGCCCAAGTCCGAAATCATCATACGAACCTGCTGGAACCTTCAGATCCCGATTCCGAGGTCGTTTACTCAGAATTTCAATCCTAGTTCATTCTTTCAACTTTAAGCTTCCGAAATGAGGATTCTCTTCCCAAATCAACTCCGAACTTCCCGAAATTCAATTCCGACCACGCGTACAAGTCATAATACCGGAAATGAAGCTGTTCATGGCCTCCGACTGCTGAACGGAGCGCTAGCACTCGAAACGACCGGTCGGGTCGTTACAAATATTTATTGTATTTGCTTGTATTTAACATTAAATTATAGAATAAAAGAGAAAAATACGGTAAAATACTTACCTTAAATCCAGAATTTAATCATGAAGGAAGTTTATGGAACAATTGACAATTATTATGCTCAATCCCAAAGCTTCTACTCAATTGGTTAGAGTCTCGTGCTGATAACGTGTTATGAACAATAAAAGAAGAAGAAGAATATTACTGAGAAAAGTAGGGAGAGGGAATTCATATTGATTTTGAGATGAATTACAATGGAATAGAACCCCTCTATTTATAAGAAAAAAATGACTTAGCCACCAAGTAACCAACCCTAAAATCTCTCTAAAATATAGACATTCACCATAAATAAAATTTTATTTATAACAGTTCTAATTTTTTAAGCCCAATTATTTCCTTTTTTTTTTTCTTTCTAACATGGAGTATGTGGTTCAACAACAACAACAACAATAAATTCAGTGTAATCCCACAAAGTAGTGTCTGGGGGTAGAGTGTACGCAGACCTTACCCCTACCTTGTGAAGGTAAACAGGTGCTTCCGATAGATCCCCGGCTCAAGATAAAAGTAAAAGAAGAAGACACAACAGATAGTAACATCAACAAGATACGGTAATAGTGAGACATCGTGATAGAATAATTGAAACGAAAGGAACATAAGGTAAAAGAAACTTACGAATATGAATGTATGAAAAAAGATTAATACTAATGCTACAAACATTAAACTAACGCACTCCTACCTACCTACTAACCTTCTACCTTAATTCCCAACTTCCACACCCTCCAATCAAGGGTCATGTCCGCAGTAAGCTGAAGGTGCGCCATGTTATGCCTAATCACCTCTCCTCAATACTTCCTAAGCCTACCTCTACCTCTCATCCGCCCCACCATGGTCAACCTCTCGGACCTCCTCACTGGGCCATCTATACTCCTCCTCTTCACATGCTCGTACCATCTCAGCCTAGCTTCCCGCATCTTATCTTCCACGAGGGTCACTCCCACCTTATCTCGGATAACTTCATTCCTAATCTTATCTCTCGTGTGTGCCAACACATCCATCTAAGTATCCTCATTTATGTTACTTTTATCTACTGTACATGAGCGCTTTTGACCGGCCTACACTCCGCACCATATAACATAGTTGGTCTAACCAGTACTCTGTAAAACTTACTTTGAGTGTTGGTGGTACCTTCTTATCACACAAAATCCCAGAAGCGAGCCTCCATTTCATCCATACCGCTCTGATCCGATGTGTGACATCCTCATCTATCTATCCGTTACTAGAATTTATAGATCTGAGGTACCTGAAACTCCCTTTCTTGGGAATTACTTGTGAATCTAGCCTCACTTCCACGTCCTCCTCCTAATTCATGTCGCTGAACTTACATTTTAAGTACTCTGTATTAGTCTTGCTCAACATATGTGGTTCAAAGGATTATGAATTTTGTGATGCCGAAAGGTGTTCTATCGACGGAGGAGAATGTAGCGTTGCAGCATCAATTTTATTTGAACCTGGTCCTTTTGACCTGAAACTTAAACTTATGTATAAACTATCTTTTTCCTTTAGCTCAAACTATTGGTAGAGGAAAATATTTTCTTATTTTTCTTAATTAAATCAAGTTTCAGTGTTTAGTATGATAAAAATTTCGTCACAAAGGGAAAAAATATCATTGCCTTAGTTCATGATGAAAGTACTTTTTTCAAAAAAAAAAAAAAAAAAAAAAAAAAAATATATATATATATATATATATATATATATATATATATATATATATATATTTATTGGCTAAAGAATAAATT